AGAATAAATCAAATACTGGCATATCAAACCCATTTAGATGATAGATCAATGATATATGCGTTTGGGAGAAAAGTAAATAAAAATAATTAAAATTGATGTTTCCAGCTTAACGATTATTTTTAAAAAAAATTCTGTCGTATTTTTTAAAATAATTGCTGGTAGTTACACCTCCAATCTCTCTATAACTTTTTTGAAAAAAATAAATTATTTTAGATATTGCGAGAATGACACAAAAAAGTAGAGCGTTTATTGATACGCGCACTCTCCAACATACAAAAGTCATCACAAACAGCCCCAATCATTAAAACACTGACTCATAACTATATCATTCCAGTACTTTTTTTCAACTTAAAACAAATTTTTAAATATGCGACTGATGTTAAACAAAATGTGAAACATTACCATCAAAACTAATATAGAGCCATTCAGCACGTGAAAGAATACATCCCGCTAAACAGAAATATTTTTACATTTCAAAACCAATTACATGCAACGCAACATTGGAGAAAGAAAAACAGGCACAGGTGTGTTTGGAATTTTGTGAAAAAATTTCATTGAAATGTTTTCGTGTTGTTTTCTTCACGGCTAGAAAAAAAATTTAATGTGATTGACAAAAAATATTATTGGTATATAAATAAAAATGATTAATTTATAAATGTAGGCTTTTAATATAATTTATTTTGTCAGTGCTGTATGTGTAATTTTTCAATTGTGGTTGGAAAAAACCCAATGAAGCCATTCAGGATGGAACTTATTCCACAGCAGCACAAAAAAAATTAAAAAAAAATCATCTTCAACAGAAGGAAACATCATTGATATCATTTTAACACCACCCCAAACCACACTCTGAATCAAAATTCTCATGGCATATAGTGGTTGATCCAGGAGTGATGCGGCAATGCATACCATCGCCAGACCATGAAGAGAGACCTTTTTAAAAATTCTGTAAAACATTTCAAATCAAAATTCAGTTTTTTCAAATTAAAATTTGAACAGTGATGAATTAAATGGAAACTAATGAGAGGGAGGAATTGAAAAAAAAGTCATCAACATCAGAATTTTTGAAATCATCTACCAACGTAAACTTTTGGATCCACCGCTTTTAACATATATAACATCGTCTGAAATATACTAATATTATCTCCATCACTTTTTTCTTCACCATCGCTACCAATATCACAACCTCATCATCGTTGTCATTATCTTCCTCCTCATCACTATCATCATCAGATCCATCTTTCATACTTTCCCTTTCATGCGATGGAACAGCTCATAAATCTGTAAATTTTATCACCAGCTTATGACCGAGCCATAACAATATATTGCCATCATTCGTATGTTCTGTCTGCATTGTTCTCTTCATTTGGATGGGTACTGTGTCGTTGTGCTTCAATTATTATTACTGCTAAGGCTGTTTGGTGTATTTTTTGTTTGTTTGTCTGTCTGTCTGTCTGTCTGTTTCTCTGTGTGTATCTGTCCGTACGTCTGTCTGTGTCTTTATGTGTCTGTTCGTATGTCTGTATGTTTGTGTGTTAGCTTGTTTGTTTTTGTTGACATGTGTTTCAATTGATTGGTTTAGTGTTGTGTGGAATTTTCTTTGTTGATCTCCGTTTCTGTTATTGTTAATGGTGTGTGATGCTGTTTGATTGTGCTGTTTGAATTACGTTAAGTTGACTGAGGTGGCATGCAGATGAGGTTTAAATTTTTTTTTATTTGTAATTTTTTTCTAGTTTAAAACTACGTTAATCAACGTTTGCTCGAAGTTATGCTGCTCAAACAATTTATCAAAAGTTTTCTCAGATTAGTTGTTTAATTTTTCAAAGATGTCGCCTCAACTCGCACCAATCTTCTTCTCGAGTTGCCTAGAAAGAAACATAACGTGGCATTATACGATCGCAAAAATTAGCCATTAGTAGCATAAATGTAGTTCATATAATTTGGAAGAAGCATGTAGTTTGTATGTAACTTGTATGTAACTTGTACGTAACTTGTATGTAACTTGTATGTAACTTATACGTAACTTGTACGTAATATGTAACTTGTATGTAACTTGTACGTAACTTATACGTAACTTGTATGTAACTTGTATGTAACTTGTATGTAACTTGTACGTAACTTGTATGTAACTTGTATGTAACTTATACGTAACTTGTACGTAATATGTAACTTGTATGTAACTTGTACGTAACTTATACGTAACTTGTACGTAACTTGTATGTAACTTGTATGTAACATTGTACGTCGACGTAACTGGATGAGAATAGCAACGTTTTTGATGTTGTCACATATTGGTGTGCTTTTCAGAATGTTCGTGCATGTACGGTTTTTCAAGTCTGTTTATTACTGTTTGCAACAGAAGCAGCAGGAGAACTCAACATGACAGGCAACAAAATTAAGTGGAACGTTGGTAGCAATCACAGACCTGATCATCTACTTATTAAGCGAATTATTGGCGTCGGTATTTGCATGTTTTTTATTTCAATCATTATTAACAGCAGCCTTGTTTGTCATTTTTTTGCACAATTTTCAACAATTCATTTTTGATTTTGTTTTTTGTAAATTTTTTTGTTATAGGATATTTTTGTAAATATCCAACAGTAAAAAAATGTTGTTTTTTTATATAAATGTATCTTCTTTGCACTGTCAGCGTTTTTTTCATCATCCAACTCATCAAAATCATCATCTTTACTATCACTATCTTGATCACCATCGCCATCTTAACCATCATCTCCATCACCACCTTAATCATCATAATTTCGATTGTAAACTGTTTGTCATCTGTATGTCTTCCTCTTCATCGTCATCATCATTGCTGACGTCATTATCATCGCTGACGTCATCATCATCGCTGACGTCATCATCATCACTGACGTCATCATCGTCGCTTACGTCATCATCATCAACATTCCCCACTTGGTATACGTCATAATCAATCAACATTTTCAATTGCATTTATGTTTTCCAGAACAACAATTACAGTTGTAATCCTTCGGCTACATGATACTGCCAACAACAATAACATTAACAACAACAACAATAATAAACAACGATAAATTACAACATTAAATAACAATAACAAACAACAACAACTAATTAATAACAATATTAATAATTAAAATGATAATAATAATAACAATAACAATAATGAAAATAGAAACAATAACAAAATAATAATAATAACAATAATAAGCAACGATAAATACAACAACGACAATAAAGCGAACCAAACTAAACAACATCGTTTTTGTAAAATCGTTCATAAAAAAATTTATAAGATAAAAGAACATCCGCGAATGATGAATAAATACTGAATATGAAGAAATAATGATGAAGGTGGTGATGTTGAAGGTGACGATGATGATGATGTTAATGGTGACGACGACTATGAGGATGATAATAATTAGGACTGTGATTGATGATGAAGGTGATGACGATGATGATGACGACGATGATGACGACGATTAAGGTATAGAGAATTCCGAGTAATAATGCTATAACATGGTCAAACTTTTAGAGGTATGGATGTGGTCAAGTCAAGCCTGTTTTGCTGGGTAATTAAGTTACTCCCCTAAAAGTTTAAATTTCAAACGAATCTCACATGAAGAGGAGCATTTCAAAATAGTTTCATTGATCATAGTTTTGTTTGTTTCAGAATAACATTTTGACATAAAAGAAAAAATAGAAAGAAACAAAGAAAAAAAAGATAAACTTTAAAATTATAGGTCGTATAACACAGGATGAAGCTGCTTGAAGATTTATTCAATCTCATAATTCTTCTTTTCAAAATATTTTTCATCTCACTGTGAACATGCATCTGCGTGAAAACATCACGCCACCAGTTGTAACTAATTTCAATAATAATTTATTCAACAATTTAAAAATTATTTTTGTTTGCTCTCCGTCTGTTTTGCTGACATTGAAATGTTGCCGATGATTTGGAACTGAATCAGTTTACCGAATTTTTAAACAATTAATAACAAATTAAAGTATTACTAGGAATAGTAAAATATCGTTACTATTAAAATTCCAAATGAAACAAGTTAACATGTCGATGAATTTTAACATTCCTTCAATCGATATTCCTGAATTTCAAAGTGTTGTAGAAAACAGGGTGAACTGCTCAACTTTTCAAACAAAAAACCAAAAATAGAAAAAAAGAAAATAAGAAAGAGTGAAATAAAGAAAGAAAGAGAAAAAAAGAAAGTCACTGCCATATGGAAACAACTTGAGCCTGAAAATAGTTTTTTTAAAAAATTCACGCAGTTTTTTTTTAATTTTTATAAAAGTGTATTGTTTGAAAAATTGGATTGAAATAAGCATTGAAAGAAAATAATTGTTTTCAAGCAAGTTTCTAATCGATCATTCCTCGTTTGTTTGTCCTTTGCAGGCCTAATGGAATCGTTTAATTCTACAGAATTTGTTAAGTAAAAATTTTCTAGTTTAAAAAATAATCGGACTGTAGACGAGCATGTTGTAGAATTCGGATGTTAATGTTAGTTTTGAAAACGCAATTTTGTCAATAGCAAAAATCTGTTGAAAATTAATAACATCACATGAATTTTTAGTTACTCGTGAGAAGAGGTAAACAAATGATTTTATGATGAGCTAGGTGGTTCGCTATTTGATGTCGTTTGTAGGCCATCTGACGTCATATGTCACGTGACGGCAGGTCGTACATCATCCTACGTCACTGATGCACATGTACTTCGTTGGTCGTATATCATTTGTTGCAAGTATGCCGACAGTAGGCATTTCTTTGTATGGAGACGCGTGTTTGTATTGCGCTGTTCGAGCTGTGAGAAAAATGGCCTAAAGACGTGCTATTTTCCAAATAAAAATTTACATTAATTATTGATCCGAAGCCATTTATATTGACGCTTACTTAACTTCAACAGAACGTCGTTAAGTTTATTTTTCAGACGAGAAATAGCAGCAAAGTTGTATATAGACAAAACATTGACGTATTTTCAGCTTAGATTACTTTAAACTAAAATTTATTGTCAGCCGTACAAGCTTACATGAGAAAAAACACTAAAAATGAACAAACTTGGGTTAGCAGCGAAACCAACTGGAATGTTCGAGAGGCAAAAAAGCATCATAAGACATTTGAGGATGAGAATGGCGGTGAGGTGGCTTGATGAGAGAATCGGGACGTACGCACAATCACAGACATCATCTTCATCCTTTTCTCTTTCATCATCATCGTTACCGTTACAAATATCGATAGTGTCATTTTTTCTATCATGTTCGTAGAAATTTTTCTCAGCTGTCAGTTGGCAGCAATCGGTGCGTTGTGTCGTTGTGGGGTACAAATTTTCATCAACTGCTTTCATCGGCGTTGTTACTCTTGTTGTTATTGCGTGCGAGGTGGTTTCAGCTTTAGTAGTTGATGTTGTTGCTGGATTTATTGCACTTTTTGTGGATTCTATTACTGCCGTGGATGTTATTTTAGCAGCTAATATGGGTTCTATTGTTGATATATCAACTGTTGTTGTTGCTGTTGTTAACGCGGCTGATGTTGTCGGTGTTGATGTTGCCGCAGTTGTTGATGTGATTTTTGCTGTTGTTAATGTTACAGATGTTTTTGTTGTTGTTGTTGTTGTTGTCATTGTTGAAGTTGTCATTAATGTTGTTAATGTGTTCCTCGTTTTCGCTGTTGTCGTTGATAGCATATTCAACGTTCTTTTGCTTGCACTAGAAGGTTTCATCTTCAAACAAACACAAAATTTGTTGTTATTCAAAAAGCTTAAAATATAATAATCTGATAAACAATTTTTAAAATACTACATTTTTAGAAAAAAGCAGAAAATAGTTATACTCATTTATGAGATTGTTTTAAAATAATTCGTTATAACCCAATAAAATAACATGATTTAAACAACATTGTCACTGTTATTGATATAATAATTTATTGTCGTTCTTCTAACTATTGGCATTAACAGAAAATGTTTTTATTTTCCAACACGAATCGAGCAAACCTCTTTCAAAGTTTTAATATTTCAAGAGGAATTTAAAGATCAATTAAATTAAATGATCATAATTACTCAGTTATTATTATGATACTTAAAATAATTTTTCAGTTAATAATCTTCGGCGTGGCCACAATGATTACATCCTCAAACGATCCTCCTCAGGCAATCTCTCAATTTTTTCCCGTCACGTTTGACAAGCCTTACAATACCCATGTTAACGCTCTTAAAAACCTTCCACTCGTCAAATTATCAACATTTTTTATTTTCAATTTCTCACGAAGTGAAAAATTTTTCTAAAAAATTTATTTACTATTATTTTTTACTGGCATTTATATAACGCTGTGCGAAATGAATTCTTCATTATGCGTTCAATTCTTCATTAACTGCCAAGTGATGTGTACGAAGTGTGCTAGATTATTATCTAATATTTAAAAACATTTCATTTAACTTTATTTTCATTTCATTTTACCAATATCCAAAAATGAGTTTTTTACTTAAAATTTATTTTATAGGTTTCAAACCCAAAAATCTTAACATGTTATAACGTTTCAAACTAGTGGCTATATTGAATTTATAATTTCATCTATCACAAGGAAGTTTGATATTTCAGAACTTGGTGAGCTACCCTAACTCAAAATATTGCAACAGGTTTTAGAATGGATATAATAAAAACTTGGAGAAGTGGGAATTACCCAGTAGAAGTAACTTACTCAGTCAAGCAAGAAAACATGCCGTTAAAACTATTTTGATGATATAATGTTACACAGAGTTCTCTTTGAATTAGATTTTTAAAAATCTCGGATATGCTGTTCACTGATGAAAAATAATCACTTGCATTTTAACAAGTCTTATGCTTTTCGTGTAAATAAACAAAATCTTTTAAATGAGTTATTATGCTGACTGAAGTGCTAAAATGTCACTAGAAATCATTCTTAGATGAGATTTATCTTAATCAAGCGATTGAAATGATTAAACTTACATTAATGATGTCAGTCTAAATTTCAAAGCTACTTTGAAAATTTATTCAATTCTGAAATAAGGACTAAATTTTTTAAGTAGAACTAGCTTGACAGATTGACACATAAAAAATGCCGTCAAAATAAATAATTAAACTGAAAGGAAGATTTACAAAATAACGACTCAGATGCCAGATTTAAAAACTCATCATTAACAACCAGTCCTACAAAAATTTTTTTTCAAACATTTTTATCTGAAACAGTTTCAAATCTATCAAAATCATAAAATGTTTTATTCACAATTGTTGAAAATATCATTTTTATCACATATACATTAGTTCGTTCTTCAATGGAACAATGCGATCACGAGACCCAGCTGCTAAACCCAGATGTGTTCCGCTGTTCAAGTCATTTGAAGGATGAGCCAAGTTAGTTTACACATGCACGCACATGTTAATAATGTTTGTATAAGAGAATCACTAATATTTTTAACATAATATCATGTTTATTAATCAAATTTTTTTTTAATTTTTAAAAATCTCTTGGGTAAGATTTAGTTAGAACTAACTAAAATTAACTGCCTTAATATTTATACATGCTTTGTTTTTATATTACGAATTCAAAATTAAAAAAAAAACATTTTTCAAAATGTGTATGTCCTCAAACTAAAGTGTGAACAATGATATTTTTGAAACGTTCCCAAACATTTTTCAGATAAATAACAATAACGTTATTAAAACTTCCGAAAAAATAAACATCATTTAAGCAAGAGTTCAAAGAGTCAAATATTTTCCTTACTCCAGCCGGAGGACATTTTTTCAATTTTTTGTTTATCAAGTGAAATTATTCAGCTCTAGGGTTCACTTTTTTTATGATAATTTGTATTTTTATGACAACTTTGATCTTAGAAAAATTATAATGTTACACTGAGTTACTTTTTTAAAATCATTGAAATGAGAGTTTGAATAGAATAGAATATTTAGAAAATGCTTGCTTTGATTTGAATTCATGACCTTTCGCATTTTGACATTGACTATAAAGTATTAAAACATTTGAAAAAACATTGTTCAAACTTAATAATTATGAACGATAATAATTAAAGTAACCATTTTAATGTATTTAACATCGTTAATGGAAAATTTCAAATCGGTAAAAATAAAAAATTAATTAAGTTTTTATTTTGATTAAAAATAAAAAGGCCTATTTGAAAAATGTTTGATTTATTACATGAAAAAATTAAGCAAAACGCCATTTCAACTTTCACCACAGATGTCGGCTTTTCCTGTTTAATTTAATCGTGATTAATTAGTTTCATAAGAAAGAGCTAGCAAACATCTTTAAAAGAACTCAATCTCATCAAATATGCAAACAAGGATGAACTATGTTTGAATGTTCTTCTCATTATGATGAACATGTCACATGCTGCTTATGTTTGTTCAACCTTTTCTAAGTATATTCACACGTACGTACACACACGCGTACCGGTATACACACATTCGTACATTCACACATAATTATACATCTTTCCCTAGGTGTACAATGTACATATACACATGTAAACACGTACATATATTCACACACACATGAATTCATTGCATAAGTACAATAACACCTACACATTTATTTAAAATTATATGTACTCACGCACGCATATACTCACACATACATCAATTTACACGTACATACATAAGCCCACACATACATACATCCACACATACATACATACATACACGCATGCATACATACGTTAACACACACACACGCAAGCATGTATTTATGGACACATTGTACGTTTTCTTTCACGTTGAAACAAAAACGTGTATAATTTTTTAATAATGCATAAGTACGGTTGCGAAAATGAAACTCATGGCTTTTGGAGAAAAATTCAACATAAGTATTTATAAAATTGATTTTAAATATTTAAAACACAAAATCTTCTGATGGCATTGATAAATAATAAATAACAATGGTATGCAGACTGACATCAGTGGTTATACAAATTTAACATGTGTTCATCAAGTTCTGTAATCGTCTTGAAAACTATAAGTATGCTGTGTTTTATCGTCTAGCTGCAACTTTTAAAAGATTTCTTTTAAAAATTTTGTCGTGATGAAATGGTTCAACCAATCAATTTTTAAATAGAAAATATAGATATAATGCTCATTGTTTATTATTTGTTATATATTGATCATTAAAGAAAATTAACATACCGCTTATACATAATCTGCATTTTATTCTTGCTGGCTATTCGTCACTTTAATTTTTAATTCTTGTTGCAAACAAAAACCTACTATTGATAACTTAATCATTTTTTGTTTGCACCATGTAGAAACATTTCCAAATGATATACGAATGCATGTATGTGTGTATGTATGTGTGTACGTACGTATGCGTGTTTGTATTTGTATGTATGTGTAGTTACCCGTACGGGTGCCTATACAAGACATCTAATACACAAAATCAGAACGAATTATCTTTCGTGACTTTCACTGTTTAAATATCTTGAAAAATTTAATGTTGATACTCCACTGTTTGCAATATCAATAATAACCGTACGTCCAACATGGAACGGGGGTTTTGCAAGTTGAGACCACTGCGCAAGAATAATACGTCGCCATAATCACAAAGCTCATAAATTGATTTTTTAATTGTCAATGTTCAAATTTTTATAGACTGCTGAGATAAGTTTTTACAACTGTGAAAAAAAAAATAAATGAAGCTGGAACAATCGCAAGCAATGTAGAACATCAGTGTACGCAGTACGCATACATATGTAATCGCATCCCAACAACCAGACAATGAGCTCACATGAACACATACAAACAACGCACGTACACAGACCCACATACAACATACTAATATATATATATATATATATATATATATATATATATACAGGGCGAAAACACATATGCAGGTACGAAATAAAGTTCGCGATCACATAAAACATAAAGCAGATGAGCTATTCACATCGCACGCCATACGCACACGTACTAACATACAGCAAACATCAAAACATTTATAAACACACTAACGAACTTCTAAACAAATGGACAAAAACTAAAAATGAAATATACAAATACACAAAGACTCAAGCTCATTCAAGGAATAACATCATGAAATGAAGATTTCATTGGCGATCAAGACATTTAATATCATTTGATCGGTTATGTTATGTTCATTTTATATGTATTAATTCTACTCTTTATTGCAAGTTTGATCAAGTGTGCATTTTTTTCATATCTTAGTTGCTTAGTTGTTGATGGGACTAACTCAACCAACAGTTTTTCAAGTTTCCTTGAGGTTTGAGTTTGTGTGAATGTATGTTTGTGTATTAGTGTGTTTATATGTGTTTGTTTTAAAAATTTAACTTTAACCTCATATGTACTTTTTTTTATAAATTTAATTGATTTTTCTTTATTTCTAGAATGAATTTAATGGTATTATAATCGTAAAGTTAATGCTAGCAAGAAAATGAAATCTGAATGATTTCATGTGAGGCTGTGTGATAAGTTTGTAATTTAAATAATCAATTTCCCACTTTTGTATGAGCGGTTTTTATTTGTCATAAGCAGAAAGTATTATGACAAACAACCTTTTTACGTAGTTGAAACTTTTTTCAAGAAGAGTTTTTAAAATAATTTTTCATATGAATTTGATTCAAAAAAGATTAGAATTATATTAACATGACTGCAAAAGGATACATACTTCAGATACATATGAATATTTCGTTGTAGCAGAAATTAAGTTGAACGAGCATCGATCCCAAAGTACAAACTCAGACATGAGAACCGTATACATGTTCACAAAAAATGTACATCTATTACAACAAATTTTCAAAGGCATTCAAAACCTAACGAACTTTAAAGAGCTTGCTAGTGAGTATTTAAAGAGAAGTAACGCAATTTTGTGTGACGTGTGTGACATTGGTTACAAATGTGACTAGCTGCCGCTTGTGGTGGCTGGGGGTCGGTGGCCGGTGGTCAGTGGCTGGTGAGAGTTGGTGAAGGTTCAACAGTTTGCTGATACAAATTTGCTCTGGCTTATTGATTAAAAAAAGCGAAAGTTCGGAAAAAGAGCCAGTATAACATTTAGGTTATTTTAAAACGTCAATCTATCAGATAATGGCATAAGACTAGGAAGATAGAAAAACAAAATAATTATAAAAATACTAATATAACTATCAATGAAAATGTAATTTAATTATGAAAAGTGATTTAATTATTAATGAAAATATTTATTTAATTTTTCAAATTG